AGAAATGTAACCAATATCCAGGTTCCCAGTACACCTATCTCACGGAAGGCCTGACTTGAGCAGTGCTTTTCTTGAAGTTGGTTTTTGTTTCATACTATCAAAGGAAAAATCTAATTGTCTCTAATCCCCTGGGAAAGAATCTTCCTTCTCTTCTCAGGCAGCACAAAGTAATCTTGAGAGCTTTGTTACTACCTGTGAATTTGTGATCAGCTCCCCTCTCCCAACCAGCCCTGGGGAAGTCTGTCTGCTGCCCAGTTGGTTTTTGGTCTGTGTCTTGCCCCAAGTGAACAGGTGCTCTCTGAGGTCCTTCGAGAAGACGTGTAATGGATATGATAAAGTCAGTACATATCCCACAGTCACGGTGTCTCTGCTTCTCCAGGGAGGCGGAGAGGCTTTCCATGACAATGAATTATTCACATTTTCTCTCCTTCCCTCAAATACTTGGTTTCCTGTCTAGCTCCAGGAGGCCCATTTTCTTTGGGGCATGTATAACCCCAGCACCCAGTGCCAGTTTGGAGCTGCATGCTGTGGTTCTTTATTTTAGGGCCTTGTGCAGTGGGCGCATGTTGGCGATGGCCAGAGTGTATTAACGCCACCACCCATTCTCCTCCTCCTTCTCAGGGTTGGACTGTAGCCACTTTGGTCGCCCTGGTTCACGCATGCAAACAGAGCTCGGGGGTCAGGTCTTCATCTCCCTTCCTTGCTTTCTCTTGGCTCCATTCCAAGCTGCCCAGGCGAGCAGGCACTTGGTCAGAGGCCTTTCTCTGTGTCCCCACCCTGCCCCGAGGCTGGGCATCCTGCCTTTCTGCAAAGTGGTGACATTCACTCACCCGCATAGGCTTCTGCATAGCCTCTGTACTGCTCTCTGGGAAACCTTTGTGTGGCTGATAGAGGGGTCTTGGCACGGAGCACCCTGACAACTCTGTCTTGGAGACGCAGAAGCTACCTCCACAGGGGCCCCTCCCCGCCCAGGCCTTTTCGCTTGTCTGCAAGCACGAGCACGAGCAGGCAGCGTGCTCAGATAGACGGAGCTGGGCGTGTGCCGTGGGGAGGCGGTTTCCGGGTTATTCTTCCTCAGACACCCAGAGCCAGACGAAAGAGCTGTAAATGGGTGTCCGAGACAGGAAGCTATTGGCTGGTGGCGGAGAAGTAGTAGAGGAGGGTGAGGGAGTATCAGCGTGGCCAGAAATGATGGGGCAGGGCGGCCGTTCATTCTGCTGGGAAATGAATACAGCGGAGAGGGTAAGCACACGTCTCTGCAGAGCCATCGTGATCGTGCACACACGCGCTGTTTGACCGTGGCAGATTGCTTCACCTCTCTGTGCCTCGATTTTCTGCTCTCTAAAATGGGAACAAAAATAGCATCTCGTCCCCTTTCTAGGATTTTTCTAAGGATTCAGTGAGTTCATATACATAGAACATGGAGTAAGTGCCAGGCCACATTGAACACCATGCACTGGTCAGCTAACGTGTCTCTGTGTTCGCAGCCACGCACACCCCCTGAAGAGCGGGTTCAGGGTCTTAACGGGACTGCCTCGCTGCTCTGACAATGTCTTTTCCTAAACATTCTTTCAACTCCATATGTCCTTTTTTTCTCTCACAGAAATCATCCATAACTTTCTCAAGGAAATTTCTTCATCCTCCAAATCTTTCAAGGCCGTTTTACTTCTTTCCATTTGTACTGAGCTTTCAGTAATGTTCAGCAATGTCACATGTCCCCGCTGTTGGGAGATCAGGCCACCGTGAAAAAGTGAAATACGCATTTTATTTGATTGTGGTACTTTCTTCTACCTTTCCTGGAGTTACTGACTGGTGGAAAATTGCACTGGTTTGCCTTGTCACTGCTTTTCTTTCCACTGCACTTCTGCTGATAATGGCGCTAATGTTCAACGAAACAGAATGTAGTCAGGTGAGCAGAAGAGCAAACAAAGAGAAGGACCACAAGAGTCTATGAATTCTGGTTGTTTTTTAAGCCATCATGATGAATTTCCACTGATTCCAAATTTATATTGGATATAAGTATACATTGGGGGCACACATGTATTAGAGAACCACATAAGAGCAAGAATACAATCTGAAGGTAACTGATCCGTTCTTAAAATTCAGCCCATGAGCTCAACAGTGCACAGGTCCCATTGCTAACAGGACATCCCTCCTGGAAGTCAGTCCACCATCTCACGCCAACATGGCGAGGCCAAAGTGGAACCCCTTATCTTTACCCACAAGTCTGCTCTTCTTCCTCTATTTTTTATCTCTTCCTTAAGCATCAGGATCCAACCAGAAACATCACTCCTCTCCTTTTCCTGCTCCCTGCCCCAGCCTGTGGGCTCCAAGGCCAGTGGCCTGTGCCGCCTCAATAGCCTGCAAATCTGTGCCTCTTCTGTATACCCACTGACTCCTCCTGCACCCGTAAGTATTGCTGTATAACAACCACCCCCAAACAGTGGCACAGAACAACAGTCATTCCTTACTTCTCACAGGTCTTGGGCCAGGTGATCTAGACCAGGCACAGCTAGTTAGCCCTTATGATGTCTCTGTGGGTGTCTGAGATCGGCCAATACAGGCTGGGCTTACCTCGGGTGGCTGGGATCCATTTAGATCTCCTCCTGCCTTCTGGCACCTCTTGATTTCTGGCTAGCTTCTCATGGACACATCAGAAGCACAAGAAGGCAGGCCCAAACACACATCACCAACTGTGTCTTTCTGTTGGCCACAGTTAGGCATATGATCAAGGGTGTCCAAAGTCCAAGGGTGGGGAAATGCACTTCATCCATTAATGGGAGGAATATAAATATGGCAGAGAGCAAGGAGACAGGGCAAGATAAAGAACGAGAGCCCATAATGCAGTTTCCTCCAGGGCCAAGACCTTGTGATCTGTCTAGACTGTTTACTCATCTTCTGACTTCTTACTTTGCCTCCACCTGTCTAGCTCCCCACATCCCTTTATTAAAACTTTCCACTGCCCCTTATCAAATTGAGCTGAAGCCCTGTATAACTTGGCGCTAGTCCATTTTTCCCACTGCATCTGTTGCCATGTTTCAGAATTACTCACCACCCCCTTCCAAATGTGCTTGTTTTTTTGCACAGTTCTGTGCCTTCATTAACCATCTTCCCTCTTCCTGCAGTGATCTCCCCCACATTTGAGGTTATTATGAGCAAGATTTGTTTACCCTTCAAGGCCCAGTTCACATGGTGCCTCCTCCAGGAAACCTCCCCAGAAACACTCTGGAGGAAACATTGCTCCTTCCTTTGCCCTGCGGTAGTAAGTTGGAATTACATCATGCTTATATTTAACTCGTACAAATTCAAGACCACATGCTCAGCCAGAGGGGGCAGGGCTTGAACAATGCTACCCACCATTCTAATCCATGATCATGGAAGTACTGAGACTTGACTTTGTTGTTACCTTGGTCATCCTTATGTTTCAGAAGTCTCTTGCAGGGTGAAAGGCACAGCCTGCTGAGTGGTGGTCTGGGCCTTACTGGTACAAGACTATTCTTCTGTAACATAAGCCATGCAGCAAGCCTGCAGTTTCTTCCGGTGTACAGCCAGAGGAACACCTATCTGGCTGTGTTGTCTCACTGCAAGTACGATGGTCAGTACTGTATTGGAAATTCAAGAGACTTTCAGTGGTGATACTGTCTCTAGATAATTTTTACCACAGGGTAATTTTAGAATCTAACCCCTACCTAAAATGCTACTCTACTATATTTCCTATAGGCACGTATCAGATTGAATGTTTATTTTTTTAATGACTGTTTATAGAGTTATTTGTGGCTTATGGTTCTTCACAGGGCTACTGCTGTGGGTGTGCAGGTTGTACACTGCACAATTCTAAAGGAGCACGCTATTCACACCAGAGTCTCCATAAACAGATTGCCATAATCCTCAATGATATCAGCTTCCTTGTTTTTCCAGTGCCTGGTACATATTGATTGCTCAACAAATGTGTAAATAAATGAGTAAATAAGAAAGGCAACAACAAACTGAATTAACTATTCCCAAGTGAAATAAGTTAACAGAGTTGGGTTGAAAATTCAGACAGGTTTTGAGCCAACAAAATAGAAATTATGTTATCACAGATGCATGTGATGAAATATACCTGCAAGCCTATTTGGCATATCTTGCAAAGCTAGAGGAAAATTACTTCTCATCTTGCAAATTGATGTAGGTTATTGTTCCTAAGATCACATCACACTTCTTCAAACGCTATTGACTGCATGATTGACTTCTACCTGATACCCTAGTGGACTTTGTGAGGCATGTGTGTGATGACAGATCTACATTCTAGATGAATCTAACCCCCCAAGTCACAAAGACTTAAAGATTTCTTAATTTCCCTTGGATGAGTCATAAAGCCTGTGAAGATGCAAACAGAGCCATCTTTTAAAAGAAAACCCTATCAGGTTGTCTGAGATACTATGCTGAGCATTTCTGAATTAGAAATACTCCAGTGTGACCAGCAAACCGTTCACCCTCTGAGATAATGTAGCCAAGTAGTGCCTGGCATGGCCCCTGGCATGAGGCGTGAAGAAAGGATTCCATAAATGTTTGTGGGGTGAATGAACAAGAGAAGCCAATTGAAACAAGCAAATCCAATGAGTGCAGTGGAAGAGGGATCATTTATGGGGTAAGGTGCTTCGGGAAGTATTAAATAAATGGTGTACCCTAAAGGCGACAGCATCTTTTCTAATGGCGGTGTTATGGGTTCCAGATCAGTGGAGATTGGACTTTCTGCGGCGTAACAGGAGGTACACTCAAACTGATGCCATTGGGGGTTTTCCTAGCCCTGCCCAGTTTGGGGCCTATCCCTAGCAATACTTCTCTAGTCTTTGGGCGGCCAAGGTTTTGGGGGGTGAATATGGGATCCGAAAATCCTAATGATCACAGACGCAGTTCAGTTAGCCCTTAGCTTCTCTTCCTGTCGCCGCGGTGTGTCATCACAGGACCCTTTCAGTGACATGGTTACCGTTCGCTTGTGTTTCTTGTGGTGCCCCCAGGTGAGCTGTCCGTGGAGGAGGCGCAGGACCCTTTCCTGGTTAGCATCCACATCATCGCAGACCCGGGGGAATCGCAGCCCCTGCAGGAGGCCATCGACAAGGTCCTGGCCTGGATCCACCCGGACCTGCAGCTGTTCCGGGTGTCGGAAAGGAGGGCGTCGCGGCGGCGGCGGAAGCCCTGGAAGGTGGCGCAGCCGGCGCTGGCGGTGGTTCTCTTCCTCCAGGAGGAGTACGGCGAGGAGCAGATCCTGCAGCTGCACCGCGCGTTGCAGCGGCCGCCCTGGCGCCACCACCACACGGAGCGCGTGCCCGGCCGGTTCCTGCCCTACCTGCCCTGCAGCCAGGACTTCTTCACGCTGGCGCCCGGGACCCCGCTGTGGGCTATCCGGCCGGTGCACTACGGCAAGGAAATCGTGCGCTTCACCATCTACTGTCGCCATGACAACTACGCCGACATCCTCAAGTTCTACGAGCTGATCCTCCGGCGCAGCCCCAGCCAGAGGAAGACGGACTTCTGCATCTTCCCCATCTTCTCCAGTCTGGATGTGGACATCCAGTTCTCCCTGAAAAGACTGCCCTGTGACCAGACCCCCATCCCCACCGACTCCTCGGTGCTGGAGTTCCGGGTCAAGGACATCGGTGAGCTCGTGCCTCTCTTGCCCAACCCCTGCAGCCCCATCAGTGAGGGGCGCTGGCAGACGGAGGACCTCGACGGGAACAAGATCCTTCTGCAGGTACCTGGCCGGGGCTGGGGGCGGGGGGCAGTCTGTGTGTCTGCGCCTGTTGGGGCGTGGGGAGAGGACAGAGAAATAAGTGGCACTGCCAGAAACCCCCGTTACCCCAGTACCTAGTAAAGAGCAATGAGTTAGGAAAAAGGAGGAATCGGTGGCCCCGGGTGGCTCTTAGACAAAGGTGTCCCTACACTGCCGAAACGGAAGAGGAGGCTCTTTGCCTTGGTTGTTTTCACTTGGCTGCCTTGGCTGTGAGCCTCAGCCAGCAACTGCCAGTTCCTCTGCGTGCCTCTTCACCTGCTGTTTGAGCAGCCACTAAACACTCGCTCGTGTGGCCCCTGGGGATTTCAGATGCGCTTACATCCCCAGGACCTTGTTATTTCAGATTCCTGGGTCTACTCCCTCACACTTAGGGAGTTTTTACCAGTGTATCCTTCACTTCCCCAAAGGGCCCTCAGGAAAACCCAGCTCTTTGAAAACTGTAAACTATATTGAGAGAAGATAGATGTCTCCTCTTGTGCCTCCCCACCGTCTCCCCATCCACCCTTCTACTGCAAGGCAGTAAGTAGGTTGTCAAAATCCAGTGATCACTTAAAAAATTACTTTCTCATAAATATTTGAAAAAGTAACCTATGCCTTTGGAGCTCTTGATTTCAGTAAGCTTGGGAAGGGGTGATTGAATGCATCTTAAGGGAACGGATGCTGTAGACTGTCCTCTTCCTCTGTGGTTGGACCCCTTTCTCCTCCTGTCCTCCCAGTGTTTCCTGGACCCTCTTTTAGGATCATTGATTACTATACTCGAGAATTCAAAATGCAGCACGTAGACTTAAGAATGTCCTACACCTGGCCCGGCCTGATAAATGCTTTCTACACCCAGGCTTTCTGGAACTGACATGTAAATCAGTTCCAAGCATATAGGACTTTATTTTTCTGAAAAACCTCTGGCTCAGGCATCTCCATTTTCCCATTTGTCTACCTGGAAGGAAAAGTTGATAGTGCATCAGGGGCCATTATCTTGAAAGGTGCTGATTGCAATTACTCAAATCACAAGTAAAGCTTCCTAGTTTTCTTGACTTTGACATCAAACATCAGAACTGTAATCCACGCGTCATAAAATGAAGTGAGAATTTGGCACATGTCAGAAACCTGTTTAAAACTACAGCCAGGCCACTTTGCTCAAGTCAGAAAGGTCACCTCTGAGACGTTTACTGTTTATAGGACTCAAGTTATTTTCTGATTTTCCTTTGAACTATACAGATAAGAAACTAAGTATCGCTTTATTATTCAGTGAACTGAATGCTAGCTCGCATCTGCTCTGTAATCTCTTTTGAAATGTGAGAACAAAATTCTTCAGTGTTTGAAGGCGGCCAATGCCGTATGCGAAATATAGCACAGTTGATAAAGTAAAAGTAAACGGAAGGGTTTTGTTTATACTCAAAGACCAAAATGAATGTGATTGTTTTGAAGGGACTTCTTCCTTTTTTGCAGTAATTAGAACACTTTTTTGCTCGATGTCTGTAATCACGTAAGTGAAAGAACGAAGTATAAAAGCTTGGCGTGGACCGTGCTCAACGGGAACCACTGAAAGGATATTTCAAAGAAGATTCACACATTTAAATGGTTATAAAATCTGTACAGGTGGAGGCTTTTGAAGTTTGAGCATCGAAGTGTGAAAAGAGGAAGAAAAAAGATTTGTATCTTCAGTCTCAGGAATGCAGGCCTTTGTTCAATATAGTAATATATCGAGGAGGTAAATTAATGTGGACAGAAATGACTAACGGCCCCCTCGTAATTCTTGATGATGGCCATTTACAGGTTACTGGGACTGAATCACTGCAGAGAGCAACCTTCTGTTCCGGCATGAAATAAGGAGCTGCCTGGCTCTTTAACTTACTTCTACGTAAAAATTTATGTCTCAGTCTTTAGCAGAATTAAGATCTTTACGTCCTGGAGAGAGACCCCTTGAGAGAATGCCTTTTATCCACATTGTCCTCAGCAGTACATGTTTCCCAAGTTATCATTTCAATGATAACTCTTAATAGAAATGCTCTTGTTCACTTGGGTGGAGTTGTACGCTGCCACAAATCTTGGTTGGGTAGTTTTTAGTTGGCTTGCTTAAAATACAGATTGAGTTTTCTTTCCTCATCCTGCCCCATCAATGTTCCCTATTCCAGAGACCTCTTCCTCTGATTTAATTCCTCTGGAAGACAAAAGATGAAAGGGTTTTTTTTTTTTTTTTTTTTTTGGGGGCCACTCAACCTTTTATAAGAACTTGGAATGTTTCTGACTAAGATCTGATAAGAGGGAAAGAAAGACTTCCCCCTCCTGAAACTCCTCCTCCTCCTTTCTTCGTACTGCCTGGTCCAGGGGGAAAAGGCAGGGAAGAGGAGGGTGGGGAGTTGCTAGCATCAGAAGCTGCCCGAGATCCCTCTGGAAAAATGCATCGTAGACATTTGCACTAGTGCTCAGTGATGCTGAAGTACAGCTTTCTGGAGTCATGGTCCATGTTCTGTGGATCTTTCCATATCCCCCGGAGCTAAACTAACATTGTACTTTGGACACAGCACCTTCTCTTTATATGTTTCCCTTTACTGTTTATTGAAGAACAGTGTAAATAATATATGGAAAAGTACATATAAGTAAACAGCTCAATGAATTTTTACAAACTGAACATTTGTGTCAGGCAACACCCAGCTGAAAAAACAGAACAGAAAAACAGAAGAAAGGGTCTCTCCCCAACTCCTGTGACGCCCTTCCCTTGAATGAACCTATTAATTACTCTATTTTGCGCAAAAGGGAGAAGAGGTACCTAGTCAAAGAAATTGGGAATTGTGTATGTTATTTTTTTTCATATTTACAAGTAGATCTCACAGTTTAAAAAGATTTAAAGTAGCTGACAAGAAGATTAATAAAAATAATTACACAGCAAAGGGACTTGAAGTAGATGCAATATATTGATAGGGAAGTCGGAAAAACCAAAGGTGACATCCAAAACACACACATTTCCCGTATCGTGTCTAGAGCTGATGGGTAGCCACTAGCCACATGTGGCCATTTAAATTTAAAATTTGAATTAATTAAAATGCAAAATTCAGTTTCTCTGTCTTACTAAATACAAAAGACATTTTCTCTGTCTTACTAAGCCACATGTGGCTAGTGGCTACCATATTGGATAGCACAGATACAGAAAATTTCCATCATCACAGAAAGTTCTGTTGGACAACATTCTTCCAGAAGTAGTCCCCATATTTGACTTAAAGTTCTCTAGCAGGAGAAACAAAGCAGAAAATCATCAGCAAGAGGATTTAGAGTCCATGAGGTACAAATACGCCATGTTTAAGACACACATGTACTCCTCGTTCTGAGTCCTGGGAGCAGTGCCTTCCACCTTCCCGTGTCCACGGTGGACAGCACACCCACACACAACAGCCCACCTTCAGCAGTACCCCTAGAATAACTGCACCAGGCCCTCACAAACCTCTTTCTTACATGGAGCCGCAGAGTGGGCCAAGGTGCCTGGCCAAGCGTAGTGCAGAAAAACCACTGCACAGAAGAAGGGTGGGCACGACAAAGTTGTCCCCACCACTCCTGGGGACTTGGCTCAGTCCCAGAGGGAGGGATGCATCTTCAGATGACCTCTCCAGATTTGTTTCTCTTAGGCAGGCTTTGGTACATAGTGAGTAACCGTGAGCTTGGCTTTCCTATTCCCAGCCAAGTGCCTATCGTACACCTGTACCATGTAGCCGGTCAAGCAGGGTCAGAGGTCCTGCACCTCAGCCAATCTGAGCTGTGTGCTGACATCTTCTTAGAGAGCCCCCAGGAACCTGATAAGGGCACAAGCCTCAGTGGAAGGCTACCTGCCTCCTTTGGAGACCTGCCATGAGAATGCCATGGGCAGAGCCAAAGTCCTCCTTAAGAAATGATTTGGGGTCCCCCCCCAAACACACAGACGGAAGCACAGCTGAGCGCCCAAAGCTCTCAAAGTTCCACAAAGAGACTAGGACTGCTGCTTTAGGCTGGGGGGTGTTGAAAGCAGGTGGCTCTGCATCGTCAAAGAGGCAAGGTAGTGTAACAACGGCATCTAAGTCTTTGGAAGTCTCTTCCCATAGAGGATGGTCACGAGCTGTTCTTTGCGTCTGCATTAAGGCAAAAGGGGCAATTAGTTCAAAACAAAAGGATTTAAGTAAGACTTAAAAGGCAAGAAATCTGACACAGAGAATTGTTAAGAGTTGCAACCCTCAGCCTCTGGGACTTTCTTCTCTGGAGAGCTTTTAGAGTCTTAGCAAGGTGCTTAACTAGACCACCCGGGGACACCACGCTGTTTAGGGCAGGGAGATGGATGCTGATGGGGATGCAACTGAGGGGCTGAGTGGGCCTCAGAGACTTTGTAAAAATGTTGCATTGTGCTAAAATACACGTCACGGTAAAACTTACTGTCCTAACCATTTTTAAATGTGCAGTTCAGTAAAGTGCATTCCACTGTTGGCGCAAACATCACTGCTACCATCTCTGGGCTCCAGCATTCTTTCCATCTGGCAAAACTGAAACTCTGCCTGTTAAAAAACCCCCACTCCCCCTGCCCCCAGCCCCTGGCAACCAGCACTCCACTTTCTGTCTCAGTGAATCTGACTGTTCTGGGGCGCTCACATAAGTGGACGCATACAGTATTTGTCTTTTCATAACTGGCTTATTTCACTTAGCATAATGTCTTCAAGGTTCATGGTGTTGTAGCACACTTCAGGATTTCCCTCCTAAGTCGAATATTCCATTATAAACATGGCGCCTTTTGCTTATCCTCTCATCTCTTGATGGACACTGGCGTCGCTTACCCCTTTGGGCAATTGTGAATGATGCTGCTGTGAACATGGGGGTAAAAATACCTGTTGGAGTTCCTACTTTGACTTCCTTGGGGCATATGCCCAGAAGTGCAATTGCCAGGTCTGATGGTAATTTTGTGTTTGACTTTTTTTGTGGGGAGGAACCACCATACTGTTTTACACAGC